CCTGATCCTCCAAGTAGACCCTAAACCCTAAACCCAAAACCCTATAGATCCCTTTAAGGAACCCTATATAGATCCCTTTAAGGAGCCCTTCAAGAACCCTTACTAAGTCCCCATAAACCCCCGAAAAGCCGGCTGGCCTTCCCGAGCCCATACTTGGGCTGCTGGCCAGGGCCTGTAGCCTGCATCACAAGAATTGAAATTTTGATTTTGGGATTTAAAACCTTAGGGCTCTAGGATTGAGGTTTGCAGTCGTTGATTATCTTGATGTGGGGTTTTAAAACTTTAGGGCTCCAGAATTTGGGGTTGAAGGCGTTCGGAGCTTTTCCTCGCTGGTTGGTTGTTAGGAATGCCAAGGCAAGAACACGAGGCATGAAACAGCGTCTCTGGTCACAGTTTTGTATTTCACAGGCTGAAGGGCATTCGAGAGCGGCTTGCTTGCTTGCAACTCAGCATCTCAACGGATGCCCTCTTTTGTGAACGTATGTTCTCAATCCGTCGCAACAGCGACCCAGCACTACACATGCCCCGAAACACAAAGCAGCAGCTAGTCCGGCGCCTTAAACGTCCCTTGTCACTGAGGGATGCGTTGCTGAGTCGATGGGCCTGAGATACAGCGTCACGGATACCGGAACCCATGTACACGAAACCGCCTTGCTTCTCGCCGTGTAAATGCCAAACTCTTCAGGCTCGGATGGCTGGACATTGGTACTAGTACCGGGCTCCTGTGCAAACATCTTGCAACGAAGGGCTAAGGGACTCTACTGCCAGTGTATTTCGTGTCCTGGCAAAAAAATCTTGCAGGAAAGACCGACACCCTCTCCCTCTCTCTTGTGTCGCTTTCTCTCTCCTTACTTTAGGGGCTGAGTACCCCAGCCAAGAGGTTAACCTTCCCAATTATGGTAGGACTATATCAACCCCCAAAAAGCTTACCTACTCAGTCCCTAAGTTACCTATCTAGTACACATGGCCGGCTCAGGCCGAGACTGGACTTGAGGTACCTGTCGCACCGAGAGACGAAGCCTGAGTTCCACCAGCGACAGAGCCACGCGAGTCGGAAATCCCTGGATGACACGGCGGTGCGCAAGCACAGTGGCCTTTGACCAGAGAATCACGTGGTCTCCGCTTGCACATCTTTGAACCCGCACGACTATGATGACGATGGTTGTCATGTAAAAGTATTACCCATGATGATGATGATGTGGTGATGGTTAGTACCCTTGGTGTTGAAACCATTTCGTTCGTTCCCACGTCCTATCCATCGTGAAAAGCCTCTGCCAGACCTTGAACGACTGCTGTGCTCCCGCGCTGATTGGTGCGATCCGGGCTTGTGTCCAGCCTGAGATTCGCATGCAGCAGCAGCAGTGGTGCAAGAGCCAATGATTCTCCAGTGGCGACAGCCTAGCCTATTAAGTTTCAGTCACAAGACTCAGGGATCGTAAAACTAGAACCAATCTGCTTGCCGGGCTATGGATTGCAGGGCCCGCTAGGCTTGATGGTAGTGACTCAGTTCAGCTGCTGACACCTGGAGGAATTAGCACGATATTTCTACCCATGCTACCTGTCCCGGAGCTATACGGACCTTCCAGCTTGCAGTAAACTCAAGAACCCCAAACCTCTGAGCCTTGGAACTCTTCGCGCGAACATGGAAACATTCGCCGTCACCCCTGTGATGACAATCCCGTGCCACAAACCTGGACGCTCAACCCCGGGCCCTGATGGTGAGCTCCAGCTACTTACTCGCCATATGCTTGATTGAACCTTTACCTTATGGTGGGCTTTAGTGCGGCAAAGGTGCAGACATTGAGGGATACTTTTCCCACGCTGCATTTGAGCCGGAAATGGTGTGCAAGCACGGTGGCACAGTGTGAGATATGGGAGCTTCAGAGATTTAGGATAGAACCCTACATACTACATACTGTAATCCCTGTATCATAACTTATAAGCTTATAAGGACCCACTGATGGTATAGATACCCCTTTAAGACAATCTCCCATGTGTGCAGCTACAACAAAATGCACCACTGTCATGCTCCGAAGTTGAGAGCGCTCCGCTCCTGAATCCGTACTTTACTCTACGGGTCTTCCGACTTTCCCAATAACGGTGCTCCTACATAGGTACTTTGGGCCCCAAGAACCTAATTACGATTTGGGTACATGGACCCTTAGGGTATAATTCTTCCGACCCCTACTAAAGTACATTCTGGTGGAGGTCCGACCTAAAGACCCTTCTCAGTCTTGCGGATCCCGTAAAAGCAGATCTTAAGCGCTAAGCGTTAGGGATCTCCTGCCCGAAAGATGGGTGGCTCTTCAAGTTCGGCCCTGAGTTGGTGTGTTTGCAAGGCTTCGGACGTCTTGCGACCCCTGTGTGTACTCAGGCTGCCTCATTCGGTCTGAAAGCATAGACAAGCCCTGATAGAGAGCTGACTCAACTAGGACTAGGAGTCACATCCACCGCACATCACGCAGTGGACCTCTGAATCGACGAATCTGAACTCCTCTGCAAAAAACGCTGAAGAACGCCATCCTGTAGTCGTGTGTAGCCTCAAACCCATCACCCAACAACATGCCAAGCAAGCCCCAATGTCACGTCGAGAACCGCTGCCAAAGCTAATGCCGACGAAGATATTATCTACGTGCCTATAACTGCCTAACCGGCCCACACTCAGGCTGGAACTCAAACCCCGACAAAGGATACTGTTGTGAGCTTTGCGGCCCGAAGCTGGAAAACCTGAAAAGCCGGACAGCAAAATCTAAGCAAAGACAGGAAGAGTAATTATATCGTAGTATACGTCCACTGGGTGGCCGTCAACCGCTTTGAAGTGAAAGCTGCTTGTTTCGCGGCGCACCGTCCATCTGAACCGAGCTTGACACGACAGTCGTAGCCCAGCAGCCTCATGATGCAACTTGCAGAAGCAGAAACAATCTGCATCTTTTCACTCGAAACATCAACGGCTAGGCGGCTGGGGGTGCAGCAAACAACGGGCAAGGCTGTCGATACCGATGCAAACTCAAGACCTTGCAATTCCAAACTTCACAATCAAAACAATCCTAAACCCTTAACCTCTAAACCCTCTAAAACCCTCTAAAACCCTCTAAACCCCTAAACTCTTAAATTACAAACGGAAGCCCAGCGGCCAGCAGTCCGGCAAAGACTCCCAGGCCAGCGCCTGACAAGGCCCGGGCGTCATCTTTAGCGTTTCCCCTCAGCCGTGGCTGAAACTGCTCACAGTTTAGGGTTTAGGGTTTAGGGATTATAGGGCTTAAATGTCGCCGTGCGTGTGCCTCAGAACTCATATGATATAGGGCTTAAATGGCTTAAAGGGTTTATGGGGTTTTATGGGGTTTTGGATTAGGGTTTCGGAGGGTCTGGGGTTCAGGGATTAGGGAGTAGGGTTTAGGGATTGGGGTTTCAGGTGCGGAAGCATCGCACTGTTGCCTCAGCCCAAACACGAGCTGAAATGTGGTAGCATCTGTCCGGCGACGGATATCTGAAACCGACCTCCTGTTTCACCGAATTCCAACCGGATTCTTTGAGGTCCGCCTCTCCAGCCCGACATCTTGAATGACGAGCCGCAGCCCTCGACTCCAAACCCAGAATACCAACCAGACAACCATCCTGGAGTCCCTGCACTCCGCCATCCAAAGCATGTCGAGTACTAACATCCGATCGCCTCCAAACCACGAAGAACGATCCATCTGAGCTCTATAGGTTCCCAGCCCAGCATACTCAATCCAAACTTCCAAATAAGCGCATGGAGCCCCTCGCCCACACCCGCCCAAGCTGAATTCACACCGCCATTTCCGCGCACTTGTCCCAAAACCTCGTCCGAACTTAGGCACATTACAATTCGACCCAGACCGTCAGCCCCAAATCGTCGGTCTTAATTATGCCTCCAACTCTATACCTCTTCGAATCTAACAAATCAAACCATGAGCCCATTCCCGACACCCGCAAGCACAAAATATCATTGATTTCAGGCAACATCCGACAACCTGCAATAAACACGCCTCGTAGAAGCCACCGAGGTCCGCTTCGAGTCTGTTCCTCCTCGGCTGGAAGATCGCTCCCAATTCACGCTGCAGCCGGAGGCAGGGCTTCCGAACAAAGAGATGGGTTCCGGATGGTTCCGAGTCTATACATTCTACAAGTACATACATCTTCACCTCAGGCTTACCGGTGCACACAGCTACGAACCCTCTTGAATTGAACTTTGCACAACAACAGACATCGAAATACTGAAGCATGTAAACATCAAAATTGCCAAGCGTCCGCGATGGGTGCAAGCCAACACCTGGGGGCTTTCATACAGCTTTCATATGTGTGCTTGAAATGATTAAAACGATATTGGAACGAAGTCTTTCACTACACGATATACAGCTATAGGTATGCTCGTTTGCTAGACCGACACATACGAACCGGAAAGTACATAGATTAATATTCAGGAAGGACCTGAAGGATCTTTGCATCCAGAGCTGCAGACTTCCCTTGAGGGCTTGATCCGAATGCACCAAAACTAGTTTCCGACTGCGACGACGGCCCGACCCGCCTATGCCGAAGCCGTCCGTCCAGCGCGGATCGACTGCTTCAATGTACACCTGGCGCTCTGCATGAAAGATGCGCAATGGCTTTGCTCTTGCCGATGCAAGCAGGGAGTGGTGAACAAGGCCTGCTGGCAGCGAGACAGAAAGCAGGTGGAGAAGCTACAACACGCAGCGACCATCATCCTGAATGCCGTGACAGACTGAGTCTTTTGCTGAATCGGTCCAAGCCTGTGCGTAGTAGGTGGGACTCTCCGCAAGAGTGCTGCACTACAAGTGCAGCAAACATTGTTCTACAAGAGTTGGGGGAACTTGCTGCGGCATGTTGTACTTTGGAACAGATGCGAAATTCATGGCCTCTTCGCCACGTTGAAAGACAATCCCTTTCACTTATACCAGCCATGTGCAGACTAAAGCAGCCTCATGCAGCCTCCTCGCTGCAAGCACGGCCCCGTCAAACCGTCAAAGACAAGCTCGGATCATCGCAATGGCCAAGATCACCACCGAAAGAACTGCCAGGAAGTAGCGCAGGTGGTTCATGGGAACACCGGTGTCACGGCGGGAAGCGAGTGTGACCAGTTGCGAGAGGAGCGAGAACGTCTCTTGATTCACGTCCAGGCTCCCACGATACCCTTTGTTGTAGTTCGTAACAGCAAAGACGTGGTTGGTGTTGGTGGCCCTCTTGATGGTGTCCAAGACTTCCACGAGCTCTTCGTGCGGATGAACTGCCTTGGAGTCCCTGAGAAAGGAATCGCGATGCGTAGCAGCCACGACGAAAGGAAATGTCACCGTTCCCCCTGAAGCGTTCTTCAAGTCCCTGGCCATCGCACTGAGGTAGGTCTGCATCTCTTCCTTCTGATCACGCCAATGAAGTAGTGACACGACCAGAACTGCTGCATGAGCTGGATTCCACAGGAAGTTTAAGACCCACCTCACAATCCCCGAAATGGACCACGGCGGATTGGCCAAGTCCCGGCGCCGTGTGCCTTCACCAATGGATTTATTGAGCAAAGACCGAAATGCATCTGCCATCTCGTTGCTCATGTTGGGAATGGCCGGTGTGTCCATCAGCGACATCCCTTCAGCCTTCACCGTCAATACCTCTTGCGTGTTCTCCTCTGCAGAGGCAGGGGCCATCTCGACCTGATCGTCGGAATCGAGGTTCTTCTCCAAGCAGCGGTAGAGGTGGTTGACGAAGGCTGATTTTCCGTGGTGTTGCCCTCCTACGACCAAAACCTTTAGGTTGCAGCCACGACTCTCACGGAATTCGACAAGCTGCGGCAAGAACTTCTGTCGGTGCTTCTCCAAATCACATGCGCTGTCGTCAGCTGACATCTCCCCATCCCACGACGTCTGCGCCCTCACGACCTCGCTGAGAACATGAGGGGCATCCTGCTTCGAAGCCTGCAGCGACACCTTCACGGTGCAAGCAGCACTGTCGGCCAGCATAGTGCATGCTTTCAGGTGCACAGCCAACCCCTGACAGCTCTGAGATTTGGTCTCTACTGGCTCAATCATAGGCCCTGCAGGATCGTAGTACTCAACCTTCACGTGGAAAGTGTAAGCTGCGGGCTCTGCATACTCCCATTTCACGACCAGGCTCCTGTCGCTGCGCACCTGCATCGTCAAGCTCGCGGGTGCCGCAGGCGTTGGCGACTCGACCTTCATGCTGGTGGTCATGGCCGTTTGCAACTACAGGACGACAGACCTGTGGCACTGAACTATAACTAGCACCTCGCTCCTAGAGCCGAAGCTGCGAAGCTGCAACAATGCCAGATCTGCCACAGGCCCTGGGAACGAGGTGAAATCACACGGCACATGTTTTGAAACAAATCTTCATCCGCACCTACAAGACAGCATGAGCAGTGGAATGCAAAAACCTGTGCACTCATCGCTCGTGAAGATGCTGGCGCAAAAGCTTGGAAAGGTGCATGTCTGCACAAAGCGCACTGACACGCTCATCTCGTTTCCCATGCGGTCGCTGAAATATTCGGAAGCTCAACATGCCTCTCATACTACCGGACAGAGTCTGCAAATATATCGCTCAGCACACCAAATCTATGTGTATGTGTGTATCTATGCATGTGTATGAACATACATACATGTGTATGTATATATATATATATATGTATGTTTATGTGTGTGTGTGTGTGTGCATGTACCAGTGCATACTAGTACATGCATCCAACCATACGTCCATGCATCCATACATACCTTCATGCATGCTTGTGTGCATGCATGCATGCATGCATGCATGCATGCATACATGCAGCCATGCAAACATCTATACAAATACACCTACATGCACAAATACATACATACATACATACATACATACATGCATACATACATACATACATGATACATACGTACATAGATACATACATACATCGCCATACATATCCACATGCATCTACATCTGGGAATGTGCGTGGGTGTTCATGCAAGCTCTGTCAATGAGCTGTAACACGTACGTTTCAAATCTTGTACACATAGAACATGGCCCACTCGCCATGCTGAAACTGAAACTCGAGAGACTGTTCGTTCCGGTCTCACTCATACCAGCCATGTACACACTAAAGCAGCCTCATGCAGCCTCCTCGCTGCAAGCACGGCGCGTCAAACCGTCAAAGACAAGCTCGGATCATCGCAATGACCAAGATCACCACCGAAAGAACTGCCAGGAAGTAGCGCAGGTGGTTCATGGGAACACCGGTGTCACGGCGGGAAGCGAGTGTGACCAGTTGCGAGAGGAGCGAGAACGTCTCTTGATTCACGTCCAGGCTCCCACGATACCCTTTGTTGTAGTTCGTAACAGCAAAGACGTGGTTGGTGTTGGTGGCCCTCTTGATGGTGTCCAAGACTTCCACGAGCTCTTCGTGCGGATGAACTGCCTTGGAGTCCCTGAGAAAGGAATCGCGATGCGTAGCAGCCACGACGAAAGGAAATGTCACCGTTCCCCCTGAAGCGTTCTTCAAGTCCCTGGCCATCGCACTGAGGTAGGTCTGCATCTCTTCCTTCTGATCACGCCAATGAAGTAGTGACACGACCAGAACTGCTGCATGAGCTGGATTCCACAGGAAGTTTAAGACCCACCTCACAATCCCCGAAATGGACCACGGCGGATTGGCCAAGTCCCGGCGCCGTGTGCCTTCACCAATGGATTTATTGAGCAAAGACCGAAATGCATCTGCCATCTCGTTGCTCATGTTGGGAATGGCCGGTGTGTCCATCAGCGACATCCCTTCAGCCTTCACCGTCAATACCTCTTGCGTGTTCTCCTCTGCAGAGGCAGGGGCCATCTCGACCTGATCGTCGGAATCGAGGTTCTTCTCCAAGCAGCGGTAGAGGTGGTTGACGAAGGCTGATTTTCCGTGGTGTTGCCCTCCTACGACCAAAACCTTCAGGTTGCAGCCACGACTCTCACGGAATTCGACAAGCTGCGGCAAGAACTTCTGTCGGTGCTTCTCCAAATCACATGCGCTGTCGTCAGCTGACATCTCCCCATCCCACGACGTCTGCGCCCTCACGACCTCGCTGAGAACATCAGGGGCATCCTGCTTCGAAGCCTGCAGCGACACCTTCACGGTGCAAGCAGCACTGTCGGCCAGCATAGTGCATGCTTTCAGGTGCACAGCCAACCCCTGACAGCTCTGAGATTTGGTCTCTACTGGCTCAATCATAGGCCCTGCAGGATCGTAGTACTCAACCTTCACGTGGAAAGTGTAAGCTGCGGGCTCTGCATACTCCCATTTCACGACCAGGCTCCTGTCGCTGCGCACCTGCATCGTCAAGCTCGCGGGTGCCGCAGGCGTTGGCGACTCGACCTTCATGCTGGTGGTCATGGCCGCTCGCAGCTCAGGGACTGTGCGGAAGCAATTTGCGAAGTCTTGGGCTGAGCAGGATGCGAGCACAATCCGGCAACATGCAAGATCAGTGGAGAAGTGCCACAACATACAGGGTCTGCAAAACCTGCGCAAACGCGACATGATGTGTACAACTTCTCAGCAACACGCATTCCCGCGCAGGCCCGTTGCACATCCATCTTCACTCATCGTCCATAGAGAGCGATGAACCGCATCTTCAATTTTGTCCGACCTTCCAGAGGCTCACCAGATGGTGATAGACGGTTTATACGTCAAGCTGCCAACATCAAGAGCTACTGCGAACTGAGTGCTACGAGGGTGAACCGTGAAGAGCGGAAAATGAATCGCTCTTGAGTCTGCTAGAGTGCTGTACCACAGCAGCCCATAAACTCAACTGCTACTTCGCTTGTCTCCCAGTCCAAGAACATAGATGGCAACAACTAGCCCATTTGGGGTGTCTGTTTCCGTTCGAAACCAAGAAGAGACCAAACCCAGTCTTGCAAGCTGGTATCCGATGTTGTCGACGCCCTCTCTTGAACCTTCCTGTCAAGGTCGTCAATGCTCTTGAGGTTGTGCACTGATACGTTCAGAACGTTCATTTGTGCTTCGCATTTGGCTTGCTGCAGACCACGGTTAAATGCGTGACCCTTTCGATCAGATTCCCGTTCATTGTTGTGCCAATTTAACGTATTTTCCAGATGTGTCACGTTCCGACGAAGTGCAGAAACTTGCCGGTGTAGAGACTGCAGAAGCTCTCGCCGCAGTGCAATCCGGAGATCGAAAAAGCTGCCATGAAGCTCTTGCCGAAGTGCAATCCGGAGATCGAAAAAGCTGCCATGAAGCTCTTGCCGAAGTGCAATCTGGAAGCGGTGAATGCTGTCATCAAACTCGCCAACAGAAGTCTGCAGCTCCGTCAGCTTGGCTGCGCATTGCTGAGATGCGGTATCCATGACTTGCTGACTCGCTTCCAGCCGCGCAAGCCTGCTGTCAAGAGCGTCCCGGCTGGACTTTTCCTCGTCAACAGCAGTCTGCAGCTGCGTCAGCTTGGCTGCGGATTGCTGAGATGCGGCATCCATGACTTGCTGACTCGCTTCCAGCCGCGCAAGCCTGCTGTCAAGAGCGTCCCGGACGGACTTTTCCTCGTCAACAGCAGTCTGCAGCTGCGTCAGCTTGGCTGCGGATTCCTGAGATGCGGCATCCATGACTTGCTGACTCGCTTCCAGCTGAGCAAGCCGGCTGTCAAGAGCGTCCCGGCTGGACTTTTCCTCGTCAACTGCAGTCTGCAGCTGCGTCAGCTTGGCTGCGGATTCCTGAGATGCGGCATCCATGACTTGCTGATTCGCTTCCAGCTGCGCAAGCCTGCTGTCAAGAGCGTCCCGGCTGGACTTTTCCTGGTCAACAGCAGTCTGCAGCTGTGTCAGCTTGGCTGCGGATTGCTGAGATGCGGCATCCATGACTTGCTGACTCGCTTCCAGCTGAGCAAGCCGGCTGTCAAGAGCGTCCCGGCTGGACTTTTCCTCGTCAACTGCAGTCTGCAGCTGCGTCAGCTTGGCTGCGGATTCCTGAGATGCGGCATCCATGACTTGCTGATTCGCTTCCAGCTGCGCAAGCCTGCTGTCAAGAGCGTCCCGGCTGGACTTTTCCTTGTCAACAGCAGTCTGCAGCTGCGTCAGCTTGGCTACCTTGTCATCGATTGCTTCCTGCGGGGCCGTAAGCCCCAACAACTTATCTCCAAGGGCATCCTGGATCTGCTGCAACTTTTCAAATCTCTCTTCGAACTGAGGATGGATGAACGGTTTGTGCGTCTGCAGTAGTTGCGGGTCCAAGTCTCGCGAGCCTTGCCAACTACCCCAATTCATGGTCAGCAGCACGACAACAAGACATGCGAAGCCAACACAGGCTTTGAACGCCCAGCCCTCTAACCCGGGTGGAGAAGTTTTGGAGGTCTCATCTCGAATTTGGCAGATAAGGCTCTCACACTGTGCGACCTGTGGCTCATCTTTGGAGAAGCCTTGCCACACCCTCACACCGTTCACGCCATCCCGCAGCGTCGGCCAAAATTCTTTGAAGCACTCCTGCGCAAACCCGGAGGACTGAAGGGGTCCTTGTGGGCCCCATCGATGTCTAGCCTCCTGGGAGGTAGGGCACACAACAAACGTCACTTCCAAGTGCCGATTGTCCAGGAGATGATTGCAAAGCTCCACGTTTCGAGGAGAATGCTCTGGATGAAACCACAAAGGACTTGAGTTCCCCGTTGCTAGCAGAAGCACCCAAACCACAGGTTTCTCGTACTGGTTCAAGACCCGGTCCAACTTTGGAAGGTCTAGCTCTGCGCTCTCCGAGAATTGGAACGTGCGTGCCTCTCCCAACTCCTGGGCGCACATGGACACACACGACCGAGTAAGTAGAATAGTGCCTGGGTATACTTTTTTAATATATGTGTATAAAGACACTGGAGTAAAATGAAAGGACACTAGCACCAAATACTCAGACCAATACAGTAGGTCATGCAGTAGTCCCAAGAAGACCTTGTGCTGAACAGCTCGAAATCCCAGAACAGCCAAGTTTCTCCTTGATCCCATGAGTGAACAGCTTTGGCAGCGCCCGCCAAGGCTGGTGGGCTCCTTGGGGGACAGAATTCGTGCACGAACAAGGTTCAAGTGGTTCTTTGGACGAGAACACGATACAATATTCCAGGCTGAACAGATTGCAAGCAACCTCGAGGTAGTTGTCTGCTCTGCTACCGATTCATACCTGAGGTTGAAAGGTTGGGAATGCTGGGAGTGCCTTCTGAATAGCGTGCCGAGTGTCGTGGAGAAGATGAACGGTGTTGGCACCATCACGTGAGTCTCGGCAACCCCTACTTTGCATCAAGCTGAGGAACGCAAGAGCGGCTTTCGGTGCACATGCGATGAGCCCTGGACGGATCACGTGCTGCAACTCGCGCCTTGCTGTTCGACTGCAGCACGAGCCGGAGTCGGAGAAATTATGCGATCCAACCTCCGCACTGACCTCGAAACTTTTTCTTACCTGCAGAAACGCAACTCAGCTCGCCGGCCACTCACCGTCGGCATGTGGCGGCCTGCTGAATGTCCATGCATGTCCATGCGTATTGTGGAGCGCTCAGCAGCCCAAGACGACACCAATCAGACTTTGTTACAAAAGACAACAATCCAAGCAAAAACCATCCCTCCACAGTGCTCAGCGAGCAATCAGCTTTGTCAAAAGCGGAAATCTGCTGGAATTTGATATCCACAAGCGGTGCCAACTTCTGGCACAGAGAAGCACGCAATTCGGCAACTTTTAAAACGAAGCGCATCCTTTATACTACGTCTCAGCCAGCCTGGCGGCAAGCTTTACCGGCCTGCACGACAAGGATAACACCCTAAAGCGGCATAGTCTAGTCATGTCCAGTGGCTCTCTGGTTATCGTGGGCTGGAGTGTGCTTTTAGGCTTAAGGTCATGCTTGTGGGACAAGGGCTGAATACCGGCCTTATTTGGCCTTGACACTGGAGAAGGAGTGCGTAAAGCCAGTACATGAAACTGCGCGTGCCTATCTGGGGAGTCGAGGGCTTGCACTCCTGACATGACTGTTGAATTTCTACAGGACCATTCTCGCTGAAAGCGACGCCCCCCCCCCCCCCAATCAAGCGCTTGTTCTTGACTAGGCAAGACGAACCTTCGGTTTCGTCCGGCATTACCCTTTTACCATCTTGTAAGGCGTCGGACTTCAAGTTACTCTCAGGTTACCTGATGAGGGTTCCTTCCTCAGGGGACGACGAGGGGGTTCGCTGAGCATGACACAAGGATGCTAAGTGTGGTGCTTCTGCAGCTGCGCGCTGCAGCTTTTTCTCTCACGCACTGTACTCAGCCTCGCCACCAATTAATTATTCGTCCTGCAACTACTTGGAGCTTTGCACTTCAGTCCGTACTACAGACAGCTGAGCAGCTGTGCTCTCGGTGGCATGGACTGCACAACAGAAGTCTTGCACAGGATGCGCTACTGAGTCGCACTCCGAGCTGTCATTCACTGCTCAGCATGAGTGCAAAATACTGTTGACACGGCCTGGCACGATTTTCGCCGACCGGCGTCGCATTTCTTGCCGGCTGGCCGCAACTCAACTGAACCCAACCCCTGCTAAACCTAAACGTCTTGGAACCCTACGCCGTAGGCCCCGCAGTTGTCAGTGAATTGCTGCAACTCCACCAGCCCGTTGTGACAATGGATGGGCATCCATACTGCATCCTCCAAGTCCGACAGCCTGGCTTGCAGCCTCATGATTTCTTCATCCCCATCTCAAGAGTACGGTTTTAGGGTTTCGGGTTTGTAGCTACTACAAACGCATACCTTTATGAAAGTCCTTTTGATTTCCACTGACGGGCCCTTGACAAAGCAAGTACCAGTAGAAGGAAACTGTCCAGGCAAATCATCTTTACCCTTAGTTTGAGCTTCCCCATCACCAGGCCATCGCAATGGACCAGCTGCAAGACTTTTTCTGCTGAGTGACATTGAATTAGGCATGAACGGCCGAAGCAGACTGCTCAAAGGACCAGGGTTGCCGACACTGTGTGCATGCAGCCGTTCAGCAAGATGCTTGCAATAGATGGCACAGCAGATCTCTGTAGTAGGGAACCCTCAGCCCGCAGCCGTATGTCCAAAATCGAGAACTATATATGTGTGTGTGTACATATAACTATATACATGCAGATCTGCAGACATACATACTTACATACATGCATGCGTACATACCTACATATAGGCATATTATGTATAACGTTTCTTACATACATGCAAATGTACATAGATGCAATAAGTACAAAGATACTTACATCCATACATGCATACTTGGCACACAAAATTATGCGGCCTCAGCCTGAGCTTTTGGAGTCCGTATGACTTTACTTTGTAAATTATGTGACTGTATTCTCAGCTAAGATACTAAATGTTAAACGGCATCTGACTATTTATTGCCCATATCTGTGGATACCTTGTTTAGGGTGCTTGCAACGAGGATCCTGCGAGCAACGGTTTCATGTCATCCTATCTCGCCGGTGACTCTGGATCTTGGAACGTCTGGTACCTTCGTCGACCCCGACCTCTTTCACCCAAACCTTGATCCAGGCTGTAACTCTCCCTAACTTCGACCCTACTGCGCTGTATGTAGGCTTCTATATTGGGCAGTGTTGCATATGAAGTTTCTGCACCTTGCTTCCATGCCCCGAAAATACCTTCAAACGATGTAGGCCGTCCGACTTTACACATGTAGGCTATACAACATCGGGACAGTGGCCTGTACAATAGTAACGAAACACACCGAAGGATGATAAGCACTGCGACGGCGCTTCAACGTTTAACGAAATGCAGGTTGTTTCGCAGCGCGCTCTGCCATGCTGCATGCAACCTTGCATCCACTGGAGAATCCGTCTTCCAGCAATGCCCAACACAAGCGAGCCTGCAAAGCCCTGCGACCAGCCGCTACGGCTGAGCGCGAAGACCCAGAGCCGATTGCATCAAGACACACGGTCCAAGCCTGAAACACCGAATGTCCAGAGTATAAACCCCCTACCCCCTTGCGAACGGAACAAAAACCGACCGAACACTTTGAAGCTGCACGAGCCGTAAATGCCCTGTAAGCTGATTGCTTGCACTTATCCGTCTCACAAAGACAAGGGACATTCATCAAAGATTCTTAATTCAGCACATAAAAGAAGTATTAACAAGTTACGTATATGCGAACAAACGCGCAAAGACATCTACTTTCCATCAACCACCAGCATCAAGGAAATCTTCCTAGATTAAAGATTAGACTAGGGTAATGGGCTTCTTCGTAGTATTATCGTCCCAATTATGGTATAACTACAATACGGAACCCTAATAACAAACAATATTGCATTGTTAACGATTTGGGCATATAATCAGTACATTACACTGCCTCATGTTCGGCTCTCTAGAGAGTGTGACTCATGGATGGACCCACGGCTGCGAAGCTGCGCAGGAACAGTCCTTAGAGTCTGAAAGTGCTACAAATTTGATTAAAGCAAAGGTTACGCGGCTGCATTGCAAGGACAATAGCTTTTCAAAACATGACTACGTCCTTTGGTGTGCTCGGGCCAGTTGGGCAAGCGTTCGGTCATTCTGGGTCTGCACGCTTGTATCTTTAGCGCTTTGAGCTTCTACCAGCTCTACTTCTGATGCAAAGATATGAAGGTTTACATTGACTGCTGCAGGGTCTAAGTTCAACGAAAGCCAGAGATGACCAGGCAGCCACTGCGATACGCCACCAAGGCAAAGGTGGCAAGCAAGAGGCCTCCGCGAGATGTGGTCTCTCGAAGTGCGCTTCATTGAGAGGATGATGCAACCAACAGGGCTCTTGTTAAGGAGCTTATTTTGAGTTACCATAATAGGGATCTATGGTAAATATGAGAAGATGGTGCAACCAAAACGTTCTGGGATAATGCAGTGTCATGCATGACACTCTACCCTTGTCGATAACTTCGTGCCTCCAAAGCGAGCCCTCTTCTGCTTGGGCCTCAGGTAGTCTTCATACACTGTTGCCAACCATTGCATGCGCCTGCTTGCTGCTTTCACTAGAACATGCTGGAGAACGGCGACCTAGCTGCAAGAGATGCGATCTTACGCTGCCCAAGCTGCAGCTTCTTCGACCACTGTCGTGTGCTCTTGGCAGCCGCGACATAAGCAGAAGCGCAAAAACTCTCAGGCTCCTTCACTGGCCAAAGTGTCTCTTCGACTTCGGCGTGCGGTCGGGGCTTTGATACTGGAGAGGTATGCTGGTAGACGTCTCGTTGTCGGCTCTAAACATACGCAGGTGTGGAGCTGCGGATACATATCTCCTTGTCCACAAAGGTGATTAGCTGCGAAAGCAGCTGGAATGTTGCCTGGCCAGGGACGAAGCCTAAGCTTCCCCTTGCCCAACACAGAATCAACAGAATAATCTACATCAGATTCCACTGACTGCGCCCTCTCACTCTCTTGTCGGGTTGCAAGGCCCAAGATACTCTCCTGTCGATGCTACCGTAGCAGTTATGAAAGAAGGAAGCAGTGTTTAGAAACAACCGCCGCAGGCAGGAGTTTGCAAGAGCAGCTTCAGCAGATGCCGTCAAACCCAACCTATGTCGTCGCTGCCCACTTTGGATCTGTTTATTTGTGAACGCCACCTGTGGCATCCCAGATCCCGCCAACAAATGCTCCAGAAGTGCTGCTGGCTATGAGGGTCACGTGTTTGTGGAAGGAGGATCAGGGGACATATTAAGTAAAAGGTTACAAGTACCCTACTTGGGGTTGTAAGTAATTAAAGGTATAGTTACCTTATTTATAACTCTAGTTACTAAGTCCCATGATCCTTTAAGTAGGCATCTGCTCCCCGCCGCAAGCTGCAGCCCTCAAATTCAGACACATCTCCACAACGCCCCTTCGAGGCGATAGTGCGCAACTCCAAAGCGCAAAGCCACAGGGGCTTAGGGTTTTTTAGGTTATATAGGGTTTAGGGTTTAAGGGTTCAGGGTCTAGGTTTTAGGGCTTAGCATTGTAGGGTCTGTGGTCTCTAGGGTTCAGTGTTCAAAAAGCTTTGGACGGCCTCGTTGACGCGCCGGCTAGCCACACATCCCCTGTTGTAGTTTGTCACGGCGAAGACCTGAGACTTATTTTTGAAGACATGTCCGAGCGGGAAGCGCGCTCAGGGGGTTAGGGCTTTATGTCTTGTTTCGTGCTTTCTGCTTCGGCCAATAAGCCTTCTCCTCCCCAGGCTCACCTTTCTTCGAGAACTTGGAACTGCGGGGCCAGGAGATCTGTAGATGCTTGCACTGCTGCATGGGGGACCCG